ATCTGAGAAGCAGAGGTGGTTTGCCATTGCCTTCCTCTGCAGAGCCTTCCTTGGTGGTCTCCCATTCAAGTACCAACCCCTGCTTAGCTTCCGAGATCTGAGAAGCAGAGGTGGTTTGCCATTGGCTTCCTCTGCAGAGCCTTCCTTGGTGGTCTCCCATCCAAGTACCAACCCTGCTTAGCTTCCAAAATCTGAGAAGCAGAGGTGGTTTGCCATTGGCTTCCTCTGCAGAGCCTTCCTTGGTGGTCTCCCATCCAAGTACCAACCCTGTTTAGCTTCAAAGATCTGAGAAGCAGAGGTGGTTTGCCACTGCCTTCCTCTGCAGAGCCTTCCTTGGTGGTCTCCCATCCAAGTACCAACCCTGCTTAGCTTCCGTGATCTGATATGACCGAGCTATACCATGCCATCTACCCACCTGAAGATACAATAGCAATCCAAGAATGCTCGACATGCAGTGACTATCTCGTCCCATCTTTCAACCATTTCAGTGCTTATGCACCAAATCTATATTAGTCATACGATGCAAGATCGGTGATTCCTCTAAAAATGCATATCTAACGAGCTTTTTTAAAACCCACAAGTTGGGCTTGACCACAGACTTTAGAAAGAAAGAAAAGGCACCAGCTGAGCTTTGCCATTTGAAATTAATCCAAACGCACCAGTTTGCAACCAAATTGGGCTGCAGCCCCACAAATATATGAGGACGCATCTGTCACTTTCAACAGGTTTAAGGATGTTCAACTGGATGCAACTGTTGTGGTGCCTGTTCCCCCCTCCCCTTCTTCTTGCATTTCCCAAAAGGAGACTGTAACGATTCCTTGTTTATATGTGGGTGTGTCTTTAAAAGTTTGGATGCATAGCTGTATGAAAGTCTAGTGTGGTTGAAACAGGCAAGTGGTGTGATTGGTGAGTGACAGAGAGGGGGAGGGGTTTTGGAAGTGATGCTGTGTGGATGATATTAATGTCTGTCAAGAGTGACAGTTAGTGAGATGACTGTGGAGAAAGACAGTTAAGGCAGTTAAGTTCTGTCTCGGAGGGAAGGAGACTTATCCCTGTGAAGCAGTCTTGTGTGATATAAGAGTTATGAGTTAAATATTTGTGTGTGAAAGGAGAGACATTCAGTTCTGTGTTATAGGAGTTACAAGTGAAAGCTGAGAGTCTAGGAAAAAGTACAGTGAAAAGTGTTACAAAGTTGCTTGAAACCTCCCTGTCAGTAAAGGAGAATGATTTGTTCAAATCATTCCCAGTACTGTTTACATTGTTTACCCTCGCATTTATGCTTTCTTTAAATAAATCCTATTTCCTTCAAGTATACCAGCTCAGTAAAGAATCCTTCCCAGGAACCACATAGTACCTCGAATGCCTAAAACCCTCTATCCACCTACCCTGTTATTGAAATAGTAAAGCATAAAGGTTTGGAAAGCCTTATAAATTTCCTGGTGGCAGCCGGATTACCCAGTAGAGAAAAACATAAAGAACACTTTTAAAGGGAAACCAGACCTCCCCAAATAAGGGGTCGTCACAGAGACCTTTCACTAGTGTCCTCCAAGCTGCAAGGGGAAAATAAAATCTTGCAAAATTGCCAAAGGAAGAAATGCTGGTTCAGGGATGGATCCCGACAACTTTACTGCCAGGGAAAAAGCAAGGAGGCATCCTCCTCTTTGACCACACCAAAAAAGGCTGTGCTGAGAATCATGGGATTAACACATGGGATTAACACAAAGAGTGATTAACACATGGAACTCACTGCCACAGGAGGTGGTGGCGGCTACAAGCATGGAAGGCTTCAAGAGGGAATTGAATAAACATATGGAGCAGAGGTCCATCAGTGGCTATTAGCCACAAGGCAAGAAATTGCAAGTAGATAAATAGGTACCGCTTCAGTGGGAAAATGACAGCGTTCCGTGCGCCACGGTGTCTAGTCATGCCGGCCACATGACCATGGAAACGTCTTCGGACAGCGCTGGCTCTTTGGCTTGGAAACGCATCCCTAGAGTCGGATTTGACTGGCTTTCAAGCAAGGGAAACCTTTACCTTTACTATAGATAGGAACTCTCAGTCTGGGGGCAAGTGATGCTCTGTATTCTTGGTGCTTGGGGGGCTCAACAGTGGGAGGACTCCTAGTGTTCTGGCCCCACTGCTGGACCACCTGATGGCACCTGGTATTTTTGAATTCAGAACCTAAAAAGGTTAGTCAAGGATAGAAGAGGGCCAACTCTAAAAATCATACAAAAATATACATATATTTATTACACACAAATTAAAATAACAAAGAAGGGCCCATTCATACCTCACAAACAAATATATATATACAAACATACAAGACCTAATGCGTTTCGGCCTTTACAGGCCTTCCTCAGAGGTCTAATACACATAGAACATATAGGCTGATATATTCTTCTAAGATATAAGGATTGTTTAACCCTGAATCTACTATATAGGCTCAACATTTTTTTGGATCAACACTGCTTTTAACTTAAGGAACCTTCATTGGGAACAGTTGGCTGTACAATCTTAGAAGAATATATAGTAGACCAGAGAGAAGGACTACTGGACATGTGATTACACTGGAGGCTTCATTTGTATTTTTGTATTTCTCTTCCTTTCCCAGTGGCTATACTTTGGAACAATTGATCTCTGGTCTTTATTGCATATTTTGGATATGTATGATTGCCTATATTTTTATATATCAGCCTATATGTTCTATATGTATTAGACCTCTGAGGAAGGCCTGTAAAGGCCGAAACGCATTAGGTCTACTTCATTAGCCCTTGTATGTTTGTATATATATATTTGTTTGTGAGGTATGAATGGGCCCTTCTTTGTTATTTTAATTTGTGTGTAATAAATATATGTATATTTTTGTATGATTTTTAGAGTTGGCCCTCTTCTATCCTTGACTAACCTTTTTAGGTTCTGAATTCTAAGTTTTAAGTTCAGTTTTTTCCCCCTTTTCCCTTTCTGACCTGGTATTTTTGGCCACTGTGTGACAGAGTGTTGGACTTGATGGGCCATTGGCCTGATCCAACATTGGCTTCTCTTATGTTCTTATGTTCTTCTCTAAATGCACAAAAGCCACATGGGACGGTGGCCACAGCATAGAGGTAGATCAAGATGAATGGCAACTGATAATGAAGCTCAAGACAATGCGTCCACCTTCAAATGGTCCTGGTTCTGAACTCTGCCACTAGATTATTTCAGCACTGCTTTTGTTCTTAACTCTAGAACTGGCTGATGTTTGTACAAAGGCAAGGGTTTTTTGTTTTGTCTCTCGGATTTTGTTCGGTTGGGTTTATCCTCAGTCTTGCAATAGCATTGTTATGTGCTTTTGGGGGGGTGAATTATAATAAACACAAAGTTTAAAAAAAAAAAGGCAATACGTTCTCCTGGACTGAATTGAGACCTAGGTTTCCTGTCTCATTACTGATGGGGATTGCCCAATAGGTCTGCATACCCATCAACTTGGTTATGTATTTTATATTATTATATGCTTCCTGTGTGCAACTCTGCCATACAATAATAATACCAATGCTGATTTCTCCACGCCTACTACCCCTCTGCATATCACACCAATCACGCCTACTATTGTCATTCACCTGCTATTGCCATTTGCCTGCTAACGTCATTCAGCATCTGAAATCACTCTTAGATATAATGGACTCACATTCTAGCTGTATCTGAAGAAGTGCGCGGTGACTCACGAAAGCTCACACCCTGCCTCAAATCTAGTTAGTCTTTAAGGTGCTACTGAACTCTTTCTCTTTTCTACTGTAGCACGGCGGGAAATTGGGTGAGACTGGGGGGAAAAGATGGCTGGATCCAACCCTATGTTTTTGTATGTATGCTTGTTCAACTAAAGTACTATACTTCAACAAGGCTAACAAAATCATGCCTACTTCCTGTACGACTGTTAGTCTGGATTTGAAAACTACAATGCAAAATACTTCTATACAAGAAATACTTCTAAAGTAGCATTCACATTCAATGCTATCTATACTGACAGGCATTCAATCTAGAACCCCTGGACTAGCTGCAGTCTTCCTCAGGAAACAAGAGTTTCACGCTGGGGCTGTGATGAAGATTAATTACAAAACTCTGTGAGGCAAGGCTGGTTCCAGGTTTTGGACGGCCCCAAGCACAGAATTCCCTGGGCTCCCCTCGCCTCCCCATCAGGCACTCATGTCTTCCTTCCCCTCTATCCACCTGCATGCCTCCCACCTTCCCTTTTCTGCTCACAAGTCCCACTGGTAATTGGTAATGAGAGAGGAGACCTAGATCTCTATTCAGTCCAGGAGGACGCATTGTCTGGAGCTTCATTATCAGTTGCAATCAGTCGCGCTGCCCATACTGATAGCCACCTGCAGCCCTCTCACCAGTGGCACTGCACACTGCATGCATCAGGGAGCATGGGCGCTAGAGAGCCAGGAAGTGAGTGGGCAGGGGATGCTGGCGGCATTGGGCCCCGCCGGAAACCCTGGGCCCTGGCAGCTGCCACACCCCAGAGTATGCTAACGCTGACATCTGCTGGGAGACCTTAGGCCAAACTGTAAACACATCAACCCAACAGGAAAATCACAACGTTGAAACGAAGCAACTGATCTTCACCAATTAACCCCTTTCAAGAGCCATCACTTAACGCACTGCCGGCATCAAACAGAGTGGCAGTTGCCTAGTTGTCCGTTATGAACACGAGGCCAGAGAAGGTGCCTCCGAACATGTCATTTTAAGCGCCGTTTTATTTATGTAACCTGCTTTCTGGAAAAACGATACCTGGTGATTCACATGTGAGATGATGCATTTCTGAAAACCGTACAAGCACAAATAATCTGTTAAAGACTTTCTGACTCGAGAACAGTGATTGACCTGACAAGGCTGGGCAGAGCTGACTGAACGTCTAGAAAATCGGAGATCTGTCAGGAGAGGGAAAAAATAACCTCTCTGACAACTACACCGAACGTGAATGGAGAGAAACGATTCTCGCCCGCATCGTTTTTTTTTACCTCATGAAGGGTGAGATGTTTGCCGTCTTTTCTTTTCGAGTCGAACCGGCCATAGATGGCGCTGTACTTCCTGATCTCCTCCTCTTTGTGAGGGTCCTCATCGCTCATCTCGAAGATGTGGCCCACCATCTTGGCCAGCTTCTTGTTTATTTTCAGCAGTTCTTTCACTTCGTTCAGGTCGCTTTTGGGGAGGGTGGGGACCAGGCGCTCGACGCACTCGGTGACCGACAGCGCCGCCGCCGTGTCCAAGGTTTCCGGGTTTTCCTTTGGTGAGGCTGGAGAGCCAACCTCCGCCGGGGAGAGGCTATGTTCACTCTCGGTGGCGTGGTGGCCGTGCCACAGTCTCTGTTCACTGCCGCTCTGCAGCGGCAGTGCCCCCGCACTGTCCGACTTCCCTGCGCCCACGCTCTGAATGCACGTCGTCGCGGCGCATTTGGGGATCTTCAAGTGAGGCTCGCGCGTATTACTATTCCTTTCATAACTATTGCATGATATTCCCAACCAAGCAGGAGATCCTTCCGGTAACTTATATATTGGAATGCTACTGACCGGTAAGGAAGTAAGAGGCTGGTTAAAAAGGCCTGGATTCGTGACCCAGTCTCTCAAAGCCTTCTGAAGTCTTCGGACGTGAAGCGGTTTGCTAGCCATGCCGACGAGGGCCATGATTTCGAGGAATTCCTCTTCTCCCGCCTCGCATAACTGCTGGACGTCGTCCCCTCCCTGCTGAATAAAGGCATCGAAGTAGAACAAGAGGTTGGCTTTCTGCAGGATTCGATAGAGCTGCAGCTCTCCAAGGGTCCGGGGTAACGCTGTGGCCATTGTGGACGGAACACCCTGAGAAAGCAGGAAGAGAGGAACAAAATGAATATCAATTTTCAGGCGGGTTTCCGATGCCAACGTTCGTTCCAAACGTTTGTTGGGTTTCGATGGAGAGGGAGGCTTCCTCACAAACAGGGGACTTTTCTTTGGATTATTACAGAGGGGGCCAAACTTGCTCAATTTAAGAGCCACACAGAATAAACGTCAGAGGTCTGAGAGCCGCAAGACATGAACAAGTATTGCACACACAAATATGAGAATTTGCTTTTTATTAACATTAAATGAGACTGCCAGAAATAAAAGGGGTAAAAACAGATATTGATAATGATATTGAATTATATTGATTTGTTTTCTAATGATATTTATTTGTCTAAGAGAGAAAAGAGAGAGAGGTGGAAAGAAGGAATGAAAGAGGTGGAAAGAAAGAGAGAGAAGCAAAGAAAGCAAATAGATGGGAGAGAAGGGGGAAGGAAGAGAGGGAGGGAGGGAGAAAAAGTATATCTCCCCTTCGCTTCCCCAGCTACCCTGCCGGGAGCCACACAATATACGCGAAAGAGCCACATGTGGCTCCCGAGCCACAGATTGGCCACCCCTGGATTATTATTTGGTTATTTATAATCCACCTTTCTCACTGAGAATCAAGGCAGATTACATAGAGTTAAGACAAGTCTCATTAACAGGATGGGGCATGCCATGAACAATACAATAGGGTTTGAACTACAAGAATCTGAAGGGAAACAGAAATCTCAAACAGAGCTGAAACGAAGCATGAGAGGGGAGCCAGCCCCAAAATCACAGAACGGAATAATAGAATCACAGAGTGGGAAGGGGCCATAGAGGCCACCTAGTCCAACCCCCCCCCCCCGGTCAATGCAGGATCAACCTAAAGCATTCCTGACAACTGTTCATCCAGCCGCTGCTTGAAGACTGCCAGTGAGAGGAGCTTATTACCTCCCTAGGCAGCCGATTCCTCAGTTGAACTACTCCTACTGTAAAAAAAATAAATTCCCTAATATCCAGCCGGTATCTTTCAGCCCATAATTTAAACCCGTTACTGTGAGTCCTGTTGTCTGCTGCCAACAGGAACAGCTCTGTGCCCTCCTCAAAGTGACGGCCTTTCAAATATTTCAAGAACATGTCCCCCCTCAACCTCCTCTTCTCCAGAATGAAAATTCCCAAATCCCTCAACCTTTCCCCCATAGGGCTTGGTCTCCCAACCCTAGATCACCCTCGCCGCTCTTCTGCACCCAAATCCATTTTGTCCACATCTATTTTGAAGTGGGGCTTCAAATTTTTTAATTTAGGAGCCAGACTCCTTTTCCCATCTTCGGGGTTCTCTATTACAATGACTACAGGTTCTAATCATTGCTACCACAAAACCCTACCCCCATCCTCTTTTCACCCATTTCACATTTTTTTAATTCAATGACGACGTTTCCGCATAGACGTTCACTACAAGGAGGAAAAAAAAAACCAGCCTCTAATCTTAACAGAGTTTCTTGTCCTGTTTTTCATACTTTCATCCATACTTCCAAAAAAAACAACAACCGAAAACACATTCCCTTTAACAGAACGACGAGTTAAAAAAATTAATGACTGCAACCATGGAATCGCATACAATTACAGTTGACATGTCAACAAGCAACGACAAGCATTGCATGCACGTTTATTTTTACGGCATGCCACAAACAACGGGCAAGCGCTGCATGCATTTATTTTCACAGCATGCCACGAATCGTACCCTGACACAAAAAAGACCCATAAGCTTAATTTTTCCCCTAAGGATCATCAAGAACACACTATAACAAAAACACTGTTGAAAACGTTGGTGCCATGATAAAATTTCTGAGCACCATGGCAACCGGATGGCTGGGATTCCCTGGCTTTAATCCTTTACATAAGGATGAAGAAATCGAGGTTCCAAAAGTTAAAAAATCAACCCACTGGCCGAGTCCCCATCATCTCAATATAGCTCTGCCTCACCGAGTACGCAGTTATGCTTCAGAACTGAGAATAATTACGGCATACTGGGGTTGCGTAGTGGTTATGTTGTGACCATTCTTACAAGAGGCAGAATGACATTGTGCCCGGGATCCAAAGATCTTTCCCCAACCTCATCTGCCATCTGTTCCTCGCCAGAAACCATTTTGGTCTCACGCAAGCGATGTGCAGAAAAACACGAGGAAAGGCAAACAAAGCCTCAATACAGCCGTTATTCCCCCCAAAGCAACTTTTGCCTCATCTATGAACATCACTAGTTACATCAGTGTTATCAATGGAAGGGGAGTTCTGTTGATCTCCGAACACCGCGGCCATATTTTGACAGACTCACTCTCTGCACACATTTCTACGCTCAAATGGCACCTCTGAGCCAAGGGGAGAGCAACTATGGTTCCCCAAATGGAAGATCGAGTCTTTTTTTCCTCCAGTGAGCCATCAAGAAAAAAGGGGTGGTGGTAAAAAGGTAAAGATTCCCCTTGCTCGAAAGCCAGTCGAGTCCGACTCTAGGGTTGCGTGCTCATCTCCGTTTCAAAGCCGAAGAGCCAGCGCTGTCCGAAGACGTTTCCATGGCCATGTGGCCGGCATGACTAAACACCAAGGCGCGCGGAACGCTGTTACCTTCCCACCAAAGTGGTACCTATTTATCTACTTGCAATTTCTTGCTTTCGAACTGCTAGGTTGGCAGTGGTGGTGGTTCCTCTTAAATTAATTTACAAGGGACAGGTATGCGCAGTAATTTAAAAAGCTTTGCGTATAACAGAGAGCCAGTACGGTGTAGTGGCTGAGTGTCAAACTAGTATCGAGGAGATCCAGGTTCGAATCCCCACTCCTGCCACGGAAGCTCGCTTGGTGACCTTGGGCCGGTCTTACTCTCTCCGCCTAACCTACCTCACAGGGTTGTCGTGAGGATAAAACGGGGGAGAGAAGAATATAAGCCACTTTGGGTCCCCCTTGGGGAGGAAGGTGAGGTATAAATGAATTAAATAAATCAACAAATAACATTTGGGGAAGGAGTACCTTACGCTGAGGTTCATCCTCCCTTTGGGTAAATACTCTACCTGGTGAACTAACACGTATGTGGCTCAACTTCTCAAACATCCACAGAACTGGGTGAGTAGTTATTCCCCCTGCATTCGTGGCCTCTGGTGGAGATATCTGCCTTCTAGAGGTGAGGCAGGGAGGGAAGACGGTCTGGTATTGCCTGAACTCGTCAGATCTTGAAAACTAGGTAGGGTCGGTACTTGGAAGGCAGACCACCAAGGCTCTGCAAAGGAACACAATAGCAAACCACCTCTGCTTCTCACGTGCCTTGAAGGCCTCTTGCAGGGGTTGCCGTAAATCAGCTGCGAAATTACGAAAAAAACTGTTCCAACGGCTTCCATATTCCAATTTTGCATATGCAAAGAGAGAGAAAACTGTTGAGAATGTCATGGTCCTAGTGATCAGACTGCTGCTTAAATAGGTTCCTGAGTGGTAATAATTGACGTTATCAGTTACTGCCATACCAGCTCAAGCTGACTGGAACAATTAATGAACAATTTTGTCACTGTTTAACAGTTTAAGATTAGAAAACGGTGCGGGGTGGTGGATAATTCTAGGAATCCCTCAAAACATGGAGTTTTTGCCACCTGTGGTCTTTTAATAGTTAACAGCATCCTTAAGCAACAGGTTTTGTGACAGTTAAGTCTAGTGATGGGCACAAACTGTATTTTTGTAGTTCATTTCGGTTTGTGTTCATTTTGGTTCTCCCCATGAAAAGCCATGGGGAACAGAAAGCATTTAAACACCTGCTTTCTGCTCCCCACCACTTAGCTGTTTTTTGTGAAGAGCAGAAAGTAGGGGTTTAAATGACTCAGAGCCATTTGAACCCCTGTGTTTTGCTCTTCACGAAATGCCACGAACTGCCTTAAAACTTGTGGGAGTTCGTGGTGGCTCTTCAGTTCGTGAACCACGAACCGGCCAAAATTCATCACGAACTTACATTTGTGAGCTGGTTTGTGTCCATCCCTAGTTAAGTCCTGCATATTTTCCAGAATATTAAACGGTTAAACCTAGAAATGTTTTATGCTAGGGTATACAGCGGCAAGCTGATCAACGAAGCTTGAAGAAAATATTAAAAAGCAAGCTGGAACCCATCCCTCAAACTACACAGACTAGATGTGCTAATACAGTCAAATAAGAAGACAGGAGCAAGTTAAATTAAGCCCGATGTGTTAATTTGCACAGTTGTAAGAGAGAGCTACCCCCATCACATCTGACAGCGTAGACATTCTGTGAAACTTAATATGAACTGTCTCCAATTTCACATCAAGCTCAGCTATTGAAAAACAGCAAAAAGGTTTAAATATCTGAAATAAAAATAACAATGTCCAGAAGAAATTCAGAGGTCATGAGTTAAGATTCCCTTTGACAAAATAAAGTTAAAAACAGAAAAGTCAACTTCTTCTGAACAATGTGTTTGTCAGTTAGTTGTAGATTTTCCGGGCTGCATGGCCGTGGTCTTGGCATTGGAGTACCTGATGTTTCACCAGCAGCTGTGACTGGCATCCTCAGAGGTATAACACCGAAAGATGGAGTACTCTCTGGGTGCATTCAGACGGGGCATTTGCAACGGTATAGGTGCCAGTTGCAATCGGTGTACTTACCGGCGTTCACACGGCGAACATCTGCCTTCCGTCCCTAACCGTTGCAAAGAGCTTTACACCGTTGTATTCTGCCACTAGGTCCCCAAGTGGTGGTATCCTGAGTGCAATGGTTGTAATCGCTTTACCCCCGTCTGATCGCTTTCCAAGGTTGTAGAGCCACTTCCGTTTGGAAGCCCAAGGCTTCCGATTTTCGCCCGCCATTTTTTTTGTTAGGTCGGCGATATGCGCTTGGGCGAAGCTTCGCCCCAGCGTTTGTTTAAAAAAAAAAAAGAAAAGGTCCTTAGTTTAAGGTTTTGGAGGACACCGAGACCTCAGGGAGGCCAGTTTGGTCTTTAAACTTTAAAGGTAAGTCCTTACCTTTAAACT